CTGTAAATCTTGATAAATAAACATGTGTAAAAGTTACTAAATAAGAAAAAAAACTCTGATACCTGGGGCCTCTGGGTCTTTCGAAGGATATCTAACGCCCTTATCTGCGATCCTGTCCTTTGCTCTCAGCCAAGGACTCATGAGCGCGAGAGAAAGGGGGGGGGGGGCTACCTGGTGTGTTTCACTGCCTTTGTTAAGAGGAGCACTGAATATCTGTGTTTTTGTCTGTGCTGTATGTATGTGTACACACACACACACACACACACACACACACACACACACACACACACGAACACACACACACACACACACACACACACACATATATATATATAAGAGAGAGAGAGGGGGGGGGAAGAGGGAGAGCGAGTGAGAGAGCGAACTATTACACACAAAAGAAGTGTATTACAAGCAATATCTTCTTCCTTTCTTTCTTTTGTTGTTGTTGTTTCTCCTCCTCCTCCTCCTCCTCCTTCTCTCCCTCCATCATCCTCTTTGTCCTACTCTGCAGAATTAAACCACAATCAGCTAATTCATCGTCATCACAGACAACCAGCTGACTTAGAAGAGGAGGATCATAATGCTTTCAATAGATTTGACACGCAACCAAATCCTTTCGTGATTTCAGTGTAGCCCAACAGGTCACGCAGCACGACTCAAGAACAGGAAATTTAAACAAGTGATAAACTATAAACATTGAGGCAAGAGTGAACCATCGAAATTATATATGTGTAATGGTATTTAAGCCGCAGGAACAGTTATAAGAAAGGTAATGATGGCAGGAATGGAGAAATGGCGAAGTTGATAAGAATGGCAATACTAATGATAGCAAAGATGATATAGTAACAATAACCGTAGTAATAACGATGATGACAATGCTACGAATAAAGATAAGAAACAGAAAAGAAAACAGAATAAGAATGAGAACAAGAGTAAAAATGAAAGATGCGTATGTCTTTATTACATTATGATTCGGCCGTGTTTTCTATTTCTTCATGTATCTATCTTTTGCGAAGGGACGCGGTCTTACGTTCTGATGAATGAAAATATTGACAACCGGGTTCCTTCATTAAACTTGCCTCAAACTAATGATATCCCGTATGACAGTGTAAATGTCAACAAATTACTCCTTCCTATTACTTTCCTCTTGCATGGATACTTCAGTCTAGACGATTTTATGTTCACAAGGAAAATTATATTCCGACTTCAAAGAGTCAAGTTCAATTCCTCTTGCTTGGCTTTATTCGATTGTTCGCTCGTGTCATGCCTTGGGCTCTTGTTTTTTACGAGCTTTTTTTATAGTGTTGTTGTTCTCTCTCTCTCTCTCTCTCTCTCTCTCTCTCTCTCTCTCTCTCTCTCTCTCTCTCTCTCTCTCTCTCTCTCTCTCTCTCTGTCAATCTGTCTATCTCTCTCACTCTCTATCTTTCTGTCTATCTATCCATCTATCTATTTCTTCTTCATTTTTTCCTTCTTTTTTCTCACTCCCTTTTCCCCTTTTTTCTCCCGTTCGGATCAGAATACCCAGACCTGCCGTCCACCATGATGTCGCGGTCGCCAAGCGAGAGCAGGTGCCCTGTCACACGCCCACCGCCTCTCTCGCCACTTTTACTCCATTCCTCTAGATTTAACAGCATTCTCGGCCAACGGAGGGATGCTGCAGCCACGCCCGCTCTCTATGCAAAACCCTTTCGTAACTGTAACATGACGCTCTCCTGACACGCTCTCCGAGAAAGCCCGCGTGACACGATCTTTGACACAATGCTTTTGGCACGACGCTTTTCCCCAAATTTTTTAACACTTCTCGAGGTTTTCCTTTTCACAGTCTTTCACGCGCTCCCTGTCACACGTCTTGACACACATCTTGTTGAATCCAGAGGATCGGTCGCCCACTTAATCCCAACACATCTTGACGCGTTCCCTGTCACAGTCATTCCCGGGGACAGTCACTCACCCGTGATTCTCTCAGTCAGTCACCTCTCGGAGTCGAGGCAGCAGGGCAGGGTCGTCTTGCCTCAAGTCCTCGAGATCTAGGATCTCTTTTCTCAGCGGAAGGTAAGGACAAAGACTCACGTCGTTTGATGTTCAGTTGATGCTAAGATCCTGTGATTATTTTGTCTGTTTGGTTTACACAACATGGGCCACTTACTTGTCTATGGAAGGCGGGTCGAATATCGCGAGAGCAGGAGGACTTTGTCGTAATCCAGAACACGTGTTAGAGCACCCGAGCCGCAACACACATGGCGTCCGAGGAGCACCACTGTGGCTTAACACAAAATCGCACTAAAGAGGTCTTACGGAGAGCCAATTCATGATCGGTAGATATAATGAACATTATTTAAATACAAACAAAGACACATATCGCATCACTATGGGTGTACTGGGACACTGCACTATATCACTCACAAGCATTCACTACACACAAAGAGAAGGCTGGAGATCGCACATCCATGTGCAGGCAGCGGGGACTTTATAAGAGACGTCCGCTTTGCTCACTCACACA